CGTGTGCTCGGTCGGGAGACCATCCTGGAAACACAAACCGAAACTGTCTCTATTTTCCGCTTGTTACAACTTGTAATAAAGTTGTTACATCTTGGCTTAACGTGTTTATGACGTATTAGAACGTTGTTACAACTTGCTATATTGGTTGTTATAACTGGTTAGGTGGTGTTAAAACTTGTTCTAACGTTGTACCAACGTCGTAGTTTCGGTGTGTGTTTGGCGGGCACTCAAGCCATCGGCAACAGCCCTTGACAATCTGAATCTGTTGACTAACCATGAACTTGTCTCAAAAGTAGAGCGTGTGTTGCATCGTTAAGAGACACAGCGCGTGTGGGTGTTCGGGGTGTTGCACGCCCACATCAGCATGCGGCGGGACCTGCTGTGTATGCTGCAGGTGTTGTAGAGGCGAGCACAGGAGCAGTCACTGGCAGACACCAGAGGCATTAGTGTGCGGGCGAGGGCGGGGCTCCTTAGGCTCCATGTCTGCACTGCTTACAGCAATACTTGTATGTGTGTGGGGGCAGGTGTGGACGGCAGGTGTGGGTGGCAGGTGTGGGGGCAGGTGTGGGCGGCAGGTGTGGGTGGCAGGTGTGGGCGGCAGGTGTGGGCTGCAGGTGTGGGTGGCAGGTGTGGGCAGCAGGTGTGGGGTGGGAGGTGTGGGCGGCAGGTGTGGGGGGCAGGTGTGGACGGCAGGTGTGGGTGGCAGGTGTGGGCGGCAGGTGTGGGGGCAGGTGTGGGCGGGAGGTGTGGGCGGTAGGTGTGGGCGGCAGGTGTGGGCGGCACGTGTAGGAAGAAAATCATTTCCTGTGTATTTCAACCCCTTCTCATGTGTGTTGTCACACAACACTGATATATCAACTAGTGTTACATACTTCAAGTAACGCTAGTCACACAAGCTTGACTCACCAGCGTTACAAGGGTCCCATACTGCGTTACAAGGGTCCCAAATTGCGTTACAAGGGTCCCATACTGCATTACAAGGGTCCCAAACTGCGTTACAAGGGTCCCATACTGCGTTATAAGGGTCCCATACTGTGTTACAAGGGTCCCAAACCGCGTTACAAGGGTCCCATACCACGTTACAAGGGTCCCATACCACGTTACAAGGGTCCCATACCACGTTACAAGGGTCCCATACCACGTTACAAGGGTCCCATACTGCGCTACAAGGGTCCCATACCACGTTACAAGGGTCCCATACCACGTTACAAGGGTCCCATACTGCGCTACAAGGGTCCCATACCACGTTACAAGGGTCCCATACTGCGCTACAAGGGTCCCATACCACGTTACAAGGGTCCCCTTCCACGTTACAAGGGTCCCATACCATGCTACAAGGGTCCCATACCACGCTACAAGGGTCCCATACTGCGCTACAAGGGTCCCATACCACGTTACAAGGGTCCCATACCACGCTACAAGGGCAGTATGGGACTTTGAATTTAAATGTTTGATTCTTTGAATGATACTAAACAAAGACTAAACACAGCTGTTGAATGTTGTTACCTACAACAGGTATAATATACAAACAAAATCACTATCTTTATAGATGATTTTGTAATAAGAAACGTGTCGATATACATGTGCGGGTGCCAAAATGTGGGGGCCTAACCGGGAGCGTAATTGTTGTCCCTCTGGACTAATGAATCTTGATCGGTCAGCAGCGAATGGAAAGGTTATCGAGTTGGGAGTCCCTTATGTGTAGCGTGTGCTGCCACCCGAGCGGAGTGAATCTGTGTGTGGGAATCAAAGAGAAAGATACCTACTGGGAAAGCTGTGTGTCCTGCTATGCCACATTAATGTTCACGGGAAAGTTAGAAGTAAGGGTAGTTCTTGAGTGTAATATTACTGCTGCTACTAAACCACTGCTATGGTATAGGGTTAGGTGTAAGAAAATGTAGCCAATAGAAGGAGATCTATGACGTAATGCACCAGAGAGTCTGCCTGTGATTCGTCCAGAGAGCTTCACTTGGTTTTATGACGTGACAGAGAGTGGACGTTCTACCTCACTGCTCTATTATGAAGACCACTAGGCCATAGCACCCCATTTAGATGCCAATGCTGCAGCTTACTAAGCGCTGCTGAACGCTATGTGCTACCAGAAATATCAGCATCCATAATAATATCGAAACATTGTTAAAATCTTTATTATATAACATTTGTTCAAAGTTTCGAGTCAATTATTTCTCGTAAGTGAATTATTTTGAACTCTAAATCTTTGTATCACAGTTTCAAATGAAAATAAATTACGTTTCCTGGGAGTCTGTTTTATTTCAATATTATACAGTATCCTTACTTACTATACTATATTCTGACTTCCTAAAGTTGGTTTCTTTCAATTGTTTTATTCAATTTGTTCTTCATTATTAATTGAATTAGTTTAGTTAAGCATCTTTCATAACTATGACTGTTATGAAGTACAAGTAGACTAATCTATATCTAAGAAACTATGTTCCTCTGTCCAAGGTTGGAGGCCAGAGGTTTGGGGCTAGCCTCACCAAGCTTTGTAGTGTGACTGGGGGGTTGTTGGGTATGATCATAGGCAGTTTGGAGTCAGATGTGTGTGTAATTACCTAAATATAGTTACGGGACAAGAGCTATGCTCGTGGTGTCCCGTCTTCCCAGCACTCTTTGTCACGTGTGCGTGTGTGCGCGCGCTGGGTGCTTGGCAAGTTGTCTATAGAAGCATTAGGCTCGTACACAGGCAACATGTGAATCCCTGACTGGGTTGTGTGATTAACTTGACTCAACTACAGCTGTGAAGAAGTGGTATTACCAAGTCCTGAATATCCCTCACATAGATGAGCCCTTAACATATCCCAACGGAGAGAGACAGAGAGGGGGGGAGAGAGAGACAGAGAGAGAGAGAGAGAGAGACAGAGAGACAGACAGAGAGGGAGAGAGAGAGAGATAGAGAGAGAGAGAGAGAGAGAGAGAGAGAGAGAGAGAGAGAGAGAGAGAGAGAGAGAGAGAGAGAGAGAGAGAGAGAGAGAGACAGACAGAGAGGAGAGAGAGAGAGAGAGAGAGAGAGAGAGAGAGAGAGAGAGAGAGAGAGAGAGAGAGAGAGATAGAGAGAGAGAGAGAGAGAGAGAAAAAGAGAGAGAGAGAGAGAGAGAGATAGACAGACAGAAAGAGAGAGAGAGAGAGAGAGAGAGAGAGAGAGAGAGAGAGAGAGAGAGAGAGAAGAGAGAGAGAGAGAGAGAGAGAGAGAGAGACAGAGAGAGAGAGAGACAGAGAGAGAGAGAGAGACAGAGAGAGAGAGAGACAGAGAGAGAGAGAGACAGAGAGAGAGAGAGAGAGAGAGAGAGAGAGAGAGAGAGAGAGAGAGAGAGAGAGAGAGAGAGAGAGAGAGAGAGAGAGAGAGAGAGAGAGAGAGAGAGAGAGAGAGAGAGAGAGAGAATTCTCGGCCTGGAAGCGTGTCACAGAGGTTAGTGTAAAGGTCGGTAGAATTAGTAACGCAGTGATAGTGACCCCACTGATAACGGGGCAGTAACTCAGCTATAGTGACCCCACTGATAACGGGGCAGTAACGCAGTGATAGTGACCCCACTGATAACGGGGCAGTAACGCAGTGATAGTGACCCCACTGATAACGGGGCAGTAACGCAGTGATAGTGACCCCACTGATAACGGGGCAGTAACGCAGTGATAGTGACCCCACTGATAACGGGGCAGTAACGCAGTGATAGTGACCCCACTGATAACGGGGGCAGTAACGCAGTGATAGTGACCCCACTGAGAACGGGAAAGTAACGCAGTGATAGTGACCCCACTGCGAACGGATCAGTAACGCAGTGACCCCACGGAGAACGGGGTAGTAACGCAGTGACCCCACGGAGAACGGGACAGTAACGCAGTGACCCCACAGAGAACGGGACAGTAACGCAGTGACCCCACTGAGAACGAGGCAGTAACGCAGTGACCCCACTGAGAACGAGGCAGTAACGCAGTGACCCCACGGAGAACGAGGCAGTAACGCAGTGACCCCACGGAGAACGAGGCAGTAACGCAGTGACCCCACGGAGAACGAGGCAGTAACGCAGTGACCCCACGGAGAACGAGGCAGTAACGCAGTGACCCCACGGAGAACAAGGTAGTAACGCAGTGACCCCACGGAGAACGAGGCAGTAACGCAGTGACCCCACTGAGAACGTGGCAGTAACGCAGTGATCCCACTGAGAACGAGGCAGTAACGCAGTGACCCCACTGAGAACGTGGCAGTAACGCAGTGACCCCACGGAGAACGAGGCAGTAACGCAGTGACCCCACTGAGAACGTGGCAGTAACGCAGTGACCCCACTGAGAACGTGGCAGTAACGCAGTGACCCCACTGAGAACGTGGCAGTAACGCAGTGACCCCACTGAGAACATGGCAATAACGCAGTGATAGTGACCCCACTGAGAACGGGACAGTAACGCAGTGACCCCACGGAGAACGGGGTAGTAACGCAGTGACCCCACTGAGAACGAGGCAGTAACGCAGTAACAATGACCCTACTGAGAACATGGTAGTAACGCAGTGATAGTGACCCCCAATAAGAACGGAATTGTAATGCAGTGATAGTGACCTCACTGAGAACGTGGCAGTAACGCAGTGATTGTGACCCCACTGAGAATAGTACAGTAACGCATGATAGTGACCCCACTAACAACGAAGCACTAACACTAACAGAGACCAAATAACGAGGCAGAAACACTGTAACAGAGACCCAATAACGAATCACTAACACTTTAACAGACACCCAGTAACGAAGCACTAATAAGAGTCATATTCCCCCTTGTATATAACCCTGATGATACATAGGTTCCTTTGACTTTACTCAGAAGACGAGATGCCGAAGATTTGAATTGTTTAAAAGTTCGGTGGGAGGAGGGAAGAATCAGTTGTGGAAGGTGTGATTGGTTGAACGTGGAGGGCTTGACCAATCAGAGAGCGCCTTTGGCGTGACGTAGTGTGACGTCAGCGCCTGAGGTCTAGGGCGGGAAAGCTACTAGCCGTCAGTGCGTTCCAGGTGTTCAGAGGGGTAGGTTGCGTCACTCGTTGGTCCCGCAAGGCGAAGCTTGAGCGGCAGGGAGGGACATCTACTCTGGTGGGACACTCAAGAGATACATTAGAGGAGTCATGGAGCTAACCTCTAGAGGAAGTACTGGAGTGCTGGACCAAAGAAATGGTCAGAAGAGGCGTCGTGGGCTAATCTTGTGTTTCCAGAGGCAGATCTATGGGATGAAGAGCCTACCCGCTGGCCGCTCATGTGTGTAGATGCCACTAGAGGGCACTTGGAGGCACCTCTAGCCGCCCTGATAGCAAACTGCAGAGGCACGGTACCTCTACATGGGAGGAGAAGACCAGTGATCACCGTGGGAGATCGACGACAGTCTGGGAGACTCATATTCCATTTTACTCGACAAGCTGAGGAGTAGTACCAGCTGTGACCTTCCGTCAGCTGGTACATCGCAGAGGAGAGACCAGCTGTGGCAGAGGGAGAAAAGAGAAATCTACAGGAATCAAGTAGACGATCTGGTGAACCATCTGCCAACCTCAACAAGCTGCTAAAACCTCAAGCAAACGTTCCACGGTGTATAAAAGGTAGATCAAACTCCCTTTCTGATACGATGATGTACACTTATTTACGAAGGGAGCCGGTGGCTGAGCGGACAGAACACTGGACGCGTGATCCTGTGGTCCCGGGTTCGATCCCGGGCGCCGGAGAGAAACAATGGGCAGAGTTTTTTTCACCCTGATGCCCCTGTTACCTAGTAGTAAATAGGTACCTGGGAGTTAGTCAGCTGTCATGGGCTGCTTCCTGGGGGTGGAGGCCTGGTCGAGGACCGGGCCGCGGGGACACTAAGCCCCAAAATCACTTCAAGATAACGTATATGCCTAAACTTATTGGTACACCCCGTACTTGATTAATCAAGAATAATTGTAAGAATTCAGCAACAATTAAGGCAACCAGTATATGAGTGTAGAAGATATTATATATTTATATAATATACTAAATTATATATATATATATATATATATATATATATATATATATATATATATATATATATATATATATATATATATACTATATATTATACTAAAAAATATTATATTTGCTGAAGAATATTGGGTAAAGCCTAATGAAACCTTATGTTAATTATTAAGCGGGTAAACTCGCTTATAAGTTTGATATTATATATATTATAGTGATTATAGATTAATATTCAATATCAAGAGTTGTCATTTAGTTATGAGTGCTGTATGGCCAGGTTTCAACACGTGTGTGTTACTAAAATTTAATATTCGCGGGTGAGAGATACCTGAGCGGTGGCGCCATATTGCATTCGAATTCGTGTGAAGTGCTGCCATATATTTGACAATAAATTTATTATTTGGCCCCTTAGCAAGTGTACCATCCAGACAATATTTATATACATTTTACATATTGTATTTGGAATTATTGCCATTTTCAATCTATTGTTTATATAAGGTATGAGCATCGAGTATAATTAAAGAGCTTCATGCATAGGCTATTTTTCCACTAACTGAAAGAAAATGATCTGATTGTCAGTGATATAGAAGCCAGCTTGGCAACCTTAGGCTACATGCACTTTTGTGATGGCTAAGTCAGCAGCAGGGAGTCCTATCTTGAGGTTATCTTGAGATAATTTCGGGGCTTATTGTCCCCGCGGCCCGGTCCTCGACCAGACCACCCCCAGGAAGCAGCCCGTGACAGCTAACTCCCAGGTACCTATTTATTGCTAGGTAACAAGAGCATCAGGGTGAAACTCTGCCCATTGTTTCTCGCCGGCGCCTGGGATCGAACCCGGGACCACAGGATCACGCATCCAGTGTTCTGTCCGCTTAACCACCGGCTCCCTAACCTAGCCTAGGTCAGTTCATGACGAGATTGGAGACTTGGGAGCTGCTGGTTTTACCCCACCCCCCCACTCTCCCCCTCCACATGGGGGGGGGAGACAAGGCTGTGCACTCACCTATTTGTGCTTGCGGGGGTTGAGCTTTGGCTCTTTGGTCCCTCCTAAGAGACTCCTTGTGTAACTGAGGTGTTCCCTAAGACCAACAGTGCTGTGATAGACGGGTGGAGTGGGGTAGGGGGTGGAGTATGTCATAGACAGTAACACACTAACTCCATGCTACACGGGGCAGTAACAGTGTAACAGAACCAATAACGAGGTAGTAAGACTGTAATACTCAATAACGAGGCAGTAACACTGCCTCGTTATTGAGGCAGTGTTACAGTGTGTGTGTGTTACAGTGTGTGAGGCAGTGTTATTGTGGCAGTGTTATTGATGTATTTTCCATCTAGGAAAATACAATCTACCCAGCCTTTGTGTTCCTTGTTTTATTTTAGTGACCTTGGCATAGAACTATCAACTTTGTCAAGCACGGATCTTCTTTCTAAATCTATGCCGCTCATTTGTTTTGACGTTGTGATCTTGTAATGTTCAATTATTCTGAACCTGATTAATTTTCCCATCTCTTTACAAGGAATACTTATCAGTGATACTGGTATTCTTTAAATTACTGGTACAGTAATATCAGTAATTTAATGCTTATTGCTTGACCCACTTTTTTAAGTGTTGGGAACACATTCATCTTTGCTTCTAAAATTCTGAGAGGTCTCCAGTCTCAAGTGTTATATTTAAAACTATAGTTAGCAGCTGGCAAAGTTTCTCAGCAGCCATGGTGTTATTAAATCTAATTTCTTGTGTCTATTTCCTTCTTTAGTAAAGACCGCCTGAAAACTGTGGTTGAGTTCTTCACATACTTCACTGTCGTTTTCCGTGAGAATCTCACCTTATCTCATCAGCCAGATCACATATGGTCTCTCATTGTTTTCCTCCTCGTTTGGCGGCAGTCCTTAGCTTTCTCAGCAGTGTTATTTTGAAATTGCCTCTCTGCCTCCCCTCTGACTTAAGTGTATTCCTTTTTGGTTATCAGTTTGTGCCCCTCTAGTGTGAGGGGACCAGTATGTTTCATACAAACATATCAACGTCATATGCATAGAAAACGTCAATAATATATTGATTTTTAACACATACGTCACACATTACTAACGTCAGTATTATGTGAATTTTGACTAGTACGTCACATAACTAACGGAATGTTCGAACCCGTTAAAAAAAGTTTTAGTTAAAAGTATTACCGGCGAGAAAACGGGAATGTTGTTTTCCTGACACAGTGGGAGACTACACAAGATTCTTCCGGATTGTTCCGTGTTTGGTCATATGCACCTCTGGCGGTGACGGTTGGGCAAGTGTGGCCTCATCTTATGCTGCACGACGCTCTCCCTCCCCCCTGCGAATCTTGCGTCCACAAATGAATGAATTTGGTTATATTGTTTAAGGAAAAGGTTTGTTGAATTCTCATATGAACATTTAAAGCCTCGTACATTCTTGTAAATCCTCACAAGAGCTACGGGCTCACCATAGTCCGTGCTACTTGGAACATTTTGTTCCAAGTAGCGAATCTTAAACAACAACAAAACTCACAAGAGCATTTTAAATCTTCATGTATCTTTAATTCATCATAAGAGCCTCTAAATCATCAAGAAATCATTTAGATCCACATAAACTTGATGAAGATACTCACACCAGGGAACAGAATGTGTGTGTGTGTGTGTGTGTGTGTGTGTGTGTGAGAAAGTGAGAGTGCGTATGAGAGAATGTGTGAGAGAGAGAGGCACACACAGAGGTCCATCCACTGACCCCCCCCCCCAGGATGCAATCCCACAACAGTTGCCTAACTCCCGAGGTACCTATTGACTGCTGGGTGAACAGATGCATTAGATAAAAAGGAAACCTACCCAACCATTTCTATTTCGCCCACTCAAATAAGAATTCTAGGAGAGACCCGGGGGCCTAGGAGGGTCATCTATAAAAGTGAACATCTTGCAGTGATAAAATATAATAGTCAAATGTTCACTCTGAATGAACAAAGGTGTAAATAATTTACTCTAGATTTGTGTAAACTAACCTAAGTGTAAATGTTCAAACATTGATTAAATATATTCCTGGGATTTGGTCTATAGTTAATAGGGTAATCTCCAGTTCAAAGCCAAATAAATAATTTATATAGAACCAGGATGCTAGATTGATGCAAATATGAATAATTTATATTGATCAATCTTAGCATCCAAACACTTGGACTGATTGATTGAGCGACTGCGTGACTTCCTGCAAGGTCAGTGTTCGATTCCCGATGGTTCTAACTCCTTATATTCCCTCAAGGACTCTATATTCACGCTGACCTAACGCTTCCTACCGATAAACACTTACCAACACCATACTGCTATATCTCACCTCTCTTGAGCACTCACGATAATAATTATATAATGAATTAGTGATATATGGGTTGTTTTGCCCGAGGTGATTATACGGCTTTTCTTCGATGGTTCAAAATATTCCCGCTATCCAATTTCCAACTTGTAAACTAAGAGTATACATGTGTTATAATAATGTATGTTTGTATATTACTTAATATACAAACATTATATTTGATTAAAAATATGTGTATATATGTTTAATCAAATATTAATCAAATCAAATTAATCAAAGTTTAATCAAATCATGTTTGAGTGTATATTGCACTCAAACATAGTCATAATATGACTATGTTTGAGTACAAATAACTCCGACTACTATATGTGTCGTCTAATAGAGCTTCTCTTTGTGCAAGGATAGCAGGCAGTGTATTAGTGGTTAGCATTGTTGAAGCATCTCAATCACCCGAGTGGTCAAATGACTCGCTGCGCTCTGTATATATAGTCGAACAGGTGACTATATAAGCCTGTCTATGGTGTAACAGAGGAAAATGTATCTATAATGGGTACCGTCGTAAATGATTGGCCTCGTCAATTATATATAAAAAAAGTAAAAAAAGCTGTACCCTTTTTTTTACGAAGTTATATCAACATAAAAGCCTTATCACTGTACCTTGTTGATGACAATGGTGGCCTGGGACGAGCCTTTGTCATCCTCGTCCAGCTGTCGTGGTTGATTTAAAGTCGATGTCGACCGGTGGCAATTTTTCACCCAAGTTCGGTTGCCTCCTCAACAAGTTTCTATACTAATATTTGTACACATTGACTCACACTAAGTTACTCTCAAAAGTCATTCCCATGTTCACTTATAAGCCAGACTTACCTTTCACCTGGGCACGCAAGGTTTAATTGGTCATTAAGGATACACAGCTCGTACGAGCTCACTCAACACTCTCAACCTCAACTTTCCATTGGTTGCGTTTTCTCTCTCTCCCAGATGCCACGAAGCCTCATGTAAAATTTCGAACACTCTGCAGCGACTGTTCGAACAGTCTACAGCGTCTGATCTTCTTCTCAAGGTGATGAATTATGGTCAATTGCTTGTTAATACAGCCTCTAACACCCCTCCCCCCTTCTCCTTTGTTTATGAATGAAAAATACTTTGTATACACAACTCACGACTGATTAGGTTGGAACTATTCCCGAACGGACCTGCGTTCAACTTCCCTGTTCGAATCGCCCCGCTCTAAATGCTTCACCCACGTACTGCAAATGTAAATAATTACCAACAAAGCCTATAAAGTCCTATTTAACC